AGATTGACTATATCCGCTTTGCATTCGGCAAAAGTTCAATGAAATTGTGCTGATGTTATTACTTAATTACTTTAGAAATTTGTTAGACAAGGCTTTTATCCGGTGGTGCTGGTTATGTTGTATCTCGTGCAGCGCTCAAGATGATCGCTGAGGGTAAGGAAAAGGAGGTTTCCAGCTGTCGTAAACGAGGTGGTCCTGAGGATGTAAATCTTGGTAAGTTCCCTTTATAAAATTTGCCTATAACATGTTATATGGCGCACAGTTGTGGTAAATTTTACTGCATCAGCAAGACGTCTTTCAGCAATATAGTTGTAATACATCCTCGTGTTCACATTTGTCTGTCAAGGTTTATTGCAATCCTTCTTCAGATTCTAATTGGAATTTACATTGATTTTAAGGTAAAAAATTATAATACAGAATTTGAGTGTTAATTCAACCGGCCATTTGACGAAACATTATAGTCTCCTAATTTCTAACCCTGCGAAATTATCCAGAGATTTATAAAGAGGTGGTTAGGTTTTGAATGGGAGAAAGAGCAGTGGAATTGAGAGTCGAAATGGTTCCACCATCTTCAGTTTTGATCCATCTTGTATCATCGCTTTTTTCATCAACAAAATTCGGAGAAACTAATTTTATGTAATTTTGAGGTCATCCAATTTTCACAATTTTTTTCTTAAGCTCACAAGTGAGGAAGAATTAATTTGTACTCCTACAATTTCTGGGAAAGCTTTGAACTGGTCGATGGCATCTGTGTTAAGGCAATAGTGAAATCGCTAATGAGAGTTGAGCTTATTGTGCTTTATACGAATGCCCCTGATTTGCATTTTGCGACTTTTCTCCTATTTTTCATCCTGGTCAGTTGATTGAGTTGTGTGGCTGGTGACTCTTATACAACTCGCTCGGATTTTAATATATAGTCCAGGTTTTTAGAATATGCATTAAAATAACTCTACACATAAGCTCTCGTAGGCAATGGAAACAGACCTGAGTTCGAAGAATTATGAGCTCAATTGAAGAAGTTAACTAGCTCGGCTGAGGCATTGCAGTCGGATGTTTGACTGACTTCAAAAGTTGATCTAAACATATTGGTTCCCGCAATGTAACTCAATTATGGAGGCGTTTTTATACGAAAGGTTCCGAGTTCAAATAGTAGGAGAACCCCGTGGAGCATCGTTTTTTGAGTTAACTTGTGGATTTGCCAAGTCGGAGGTTATAAAATCTGTGTTCATCCACGCAAATTCAGTGATGTGATTGCCAAACCATAATTTTCAACTCCTGGCAACAACAATGGGTGTTAAAATGTAACTTCGTCATAAGATCTCTTTCTGGACTCAAGTTAACAATTGGTCTCCTAGAGCTTTAGTCTCCTTAATTCCAATGGAAAAATTGTATCTATCTCCCATGCGCCTTTTAAGTGCGGGAAAATTCATTAACTCCCTGGGAAATCATACTAAATAATCTTAATAAGCTCCTGAAAATGACGATATTTTTTTTACAAAATTCAAATTATTCTCCGCTTTCATTCAAATTCTTTCAGGTGCTTGCGCAGAGGAGGTCAGGGTGAAGATGGTCGATAGTTTGGATGAACACGGTGAAGAAGCTTTCCACCCGTTCAGTCCCGGCTATATGCTCGATAAGAATGCAATGGAACGTACCGAATGGGTTCAATCATACAATTATTATCCTATCAGAACCGTGAGTGGTCTTTTATTCTCATTGAATTTTATTGAACATACTTCTTGATGGTTCATTACCATTATTAACGGCAATAATGCAATGCAATCTTTAATTTTTGACTGTGGGTGCAAGTGAAAACAGCTAACTTCAAATATAATTATTGATAAGAGCAGTTGTTCATTTTTCAAAATTCAAGTGTGCAGCTACCTGCATAGAGAATCCAAGGCTTTTTAATTAGTTATTAAGTTATGGTAGCTAGTTTTACCACATAAATTCATCTTTTGTCTTAAAATTGATCATATGAGCCATCAATTTTGTAATTTTTTGCTTGATTTTGATTGGTTATCGCCTCCTCTTTGTTCTTTAAACCTTGAAATGGTGCTTTCTTGCTAAGGTATGTAATTAGTTGTCATTAAAAAATGATTTTATTTAAATAACTTTCATTATTCTTATCGCACTTTTAAATTTTTGTTGGAGAATTAATTTGATGAATTGGATTGCTTTAATGTACGCTGAATTCAATCTTCGAAATTCTTAGTGAATTTGCGGTGCAGTTTGGTATCGAATTTGTGCAAAATGGGGTCCAACGTGGGTGGTTCAATTTGATTAAAGTTGGTAAATAGTAAATTTTGCGGTTGAATAAGAAAACTTCTCGTTTTATTGCAAAGTGATCAGTATTCACTGTGATCTTTTTTCTGCGAAAATTGTTTTCCATAGTCAAATTTTTATTTCATGATTGTCATGGCTGGCGGGTTTGGGACAGTCTTATGTAAGAAAGGGTATTTAATAATGATCTTAAATTTGAAATGAATTGAAAAATCTAATTGGATTTGCTTCGATTTTGTGAATTTTTTTAGAAAAATGCCTGTCTTTACTCATAGCATAAAAGAGTTCACAACTTGTAACACTCGTTGCTTTGAAAAAGCCTCTTGACACAAGAACCGATAGAATTGAGCTTAAAGTTGAGTATGAAGCAGAAATCGCGTAGAGGTAGAATAGAAGGGATATTAGAAATACTCAAGAGTTGGTTAGTCCTGCTAGCTTTTAACAAAATTTCTCCTGTTACAAGAGTCGTATAATATGATTGACTATACAGCACTGTCGAGGTGTTGTTTCATTAAAAATTCGAACTGGTAACCGAATAGATGATAGCATGGTTCTCTGAATATGACCTGCACAATGTAAAGCTGATAAAGTATGACGGCATGCGGAAAAGGCGAGGTCTCACAGAGTTCCTCCCTCAAAGTCCTAAAATTTTAAGCCTATACACCATATTGTCAGAACTGTGAGGTACTTAATTGTATAATTTCCTAGTATTACGAAATTCAAACTACAGGATCCTATGCTCCCAGATGTTGGTCCATGTCTGCTGTGCTTCGAGCTGACTGTCTTGTCTATCAACCGGCCTATGAGCTGCTGCTTGGTATTTGTTGACACGATTTTTGGGTCTTAATAGTGTGGCTTGTCAATATGTAGGGCTTTTCTAACTTGTGGTACGTTGCCATTGTGCTTAGGATAGGCACATGAAGCCGAAATTTTGGTGCAAACCAGGTATTCCACGCTTTACTTTCTAATGCTCATATATTCATTAATTGTATTTCGTCTGATGCCGATTTTCCGTCTTTTCTTTGGTTCTAAAAGGGTTTAAATTGCTGCAGCGATCACTCGGTGTCTTTTCACTACATCAGTCCCCAAGATATGTACACATTGGATTATCTCATCTACCATGCTTATCCTTATGGTATCGCACGCGATCTGGAGCAGTACAAGGAGTTGGCGCGATTGAAGCAAGGCAAACCACTCTTCAAAGAACCACCTATTTCTGCCGCTAAACCAGCTCCAAACCAACCCTAAATGGGTTACCTCGCTCTCTCCTTCTCATAGTCTTTCATTTTAACTTTCAAAAGAGTGTTGTTCATTTTACTACTACTTTGTAGCATATTAATGTGAAACAGAGAATGGTTGTATGCGTGTGTCTTTGCTCTTAGGATTCCCCTTAAGGGGGCTTTGAATAGACGATGCAAATGGAAGTTTGGCGAGTAGGAGGATCTGAATGCAAATTTATTTGGACGCGTATTAAGTTCACTAGGAATGAAGTTTGTAATTTTCGTCTATTGTGTGCTAAAACATTCCCATAATTGGTCAAAGTGCATTTCCCACATTTTGATAGCATGTGCCATAATTTTTTGTCTCTAGTTGGTAGTTATGACGAGTTGAAGGAAATTTTAGTACGTCTTAAATGACTGTTATTTCAATTTGTAATTAGTGAATATTTGTGACAGTATATAAGCCGCGAAATTGTCGGAGCATTTTAAGTGTCATAGGCATCCCAAAAATGAAGCTCTGCCATTCAATGTAGCGCACAAGAGCACAGCTCATTTAAACATAATATATAAGAAATATAACCAGTATTCACGATGAGGTGAGAGGGCCCGCTTGGTATCATATGGCGGATATATTATGATCACAGTGGAGAGAAAATAGAAGATAACATGAGTAAAATTTACCGGAAAAAAGGAAAAGTTCTGCAACTTTGAGCACAATTAACGCAACGAATATTGATTTTTGATTGGCTGGTGGGCCCTTACACGCATATCAGTGCTTGCCTGGCACGCGGTCGATAGCACGACGCACTTTTCAGAGTGATCTAGCTCGTAAGGTTCCCTTGGTCAGTTGTGGTATCGTGGTGCCCTCCACACGCTATAAATCGGGTACTTAGAGCAATAAAGTTTAGCCAGTGTAGGAGGCTTATAGCTTATGAATTAAAGAAAAATAAACACCAAGAATCAAATGAAATTGTCGCGGGATTCTACATTAATAAGCTTAACTAATACTCAGTAATCACTATGGAAAGCTCTCTTGGCATGGAATGGCTTCCACCCTTCTCCAGCGTATTGTATAAAAAAAGGTTATTTTAGCTCAGTGTCTGCCACAGAGATTAGTCATTAAAATACAATGAAGGTTTTTTTATTCAATGGGATTATTGATTGGTGAATGACTGAGAGGTCTCTTCGCTCACGACCGCACTTGCTTTCTATGGTCAAGTAGCCCAACTGTAACTTTGAGTGTCTGAGCGCGTATGAGATTCCTTTGTTCAGCTATGACAGAATTGTGCACTCCATAAACCGGAAGTTAAATATAACGCTAAAACGACAAATACGGTAAGGAATACACCTCGCCTTAAATACAGGGGTCGTATCTAATAGGGCGTAAATTGCTCTAACATAGAAATATATAAAATTCATTAAAAAATTCAACGCTTTCCAATTGTGTAGTGATTGGAAAATATTTAGGTATGACAATGTCGCGATAAGACCTAGCTTCATTATAGAAAGTTTATATCAAACGACGGGCGTTTTGATAATTATCATAACCCCTTTGGTTGACTTCAGGCTCCACAGAGGGGAAGGAACATCAAAATGGAAAACAGTCGAGAGGGGGGGGGGGAGGAACAGAAAAACGCTTCAAGGATGTAAAAGAGATAGACACAAAGGTAGAAAAAAGATGAGGTGAGTACTGTGGAAATGATCGAATATGACATACAGTGGGGTGATGGTAGTTTGAAGTGAGAAGTCAACTGCTGGTTAATAGACCTTTTAGCCGTATGAGTATACGATGCACAGGGTGCACCACATGGAGGTAGGTCTATCACACACCCCTCATTATAGAAAGTAATTCTAATGCCTTCAATTTAATATTTTAAATTATAAACTGCTAACGATAACTATAATAAAACCTGCCATTTATATATCATAAATTGAGCATAAAGTGAGTAATTTACTGAAAATGGAAATCTTCACAGTTGTAATTCGCATGCATTAAAATCGTACGTTTTTCTGAGTTGCAATTTGATATGCCATAAGCACTTTCTTTTTCAAGCTTTGAGAGGCACTAAAATGCATTGAAATAATAAGTGAAGTAAAAAGCAATAACACCTGACTGCAAAACAACGGAAAGATGGCTGTAAAGAGTAAATAGGCGTTAGAAGAGCACATCAATCCCACGTTGTAAGATGCAGCACTATTCTGAATAAATTACGACTTAATCAATTCAAATTCATTCCCTGTCGATTGTGGTGTCGAAGTCACATGTCAAATACGTATTGGAGTAGGGATTGGGAGGGGGGGGGGTTGAAGGGGGTGGAGGAAGGCTAGTAATTTAAATAAATTGTCATTTTATTGAATTCCCACACTCTAGACCATAAATGTGGGGATGAGGTAACATAAACTTATTTTCAGGAGGAGTGATTAATTGCACTTCTGCAAAGTCGGAAACCCCAGGGACCCAGCCCCCAACGATACAAATTCTGATTTACGTTGACGTTTTTCCTAGCAGCTGGTACTGGATATCATCTCTCTACCTATGCTATTTGTTCTGACCACATCTATTAATGGACATGTACATTTTATCAGACGAAACTTCACTTTCCTCGGTGAGTAACCGAGGTCGTTAATTTGCCTCGTACAATTTTATACTGGAAGAAATATGACTGTAAAGCCAGTGACTTAAGAAATTATTCGCGCTTCAACAGCAATAGAAAACCCATCCCTGTTGAGAATTTATACATACGTGATATTTTAAAATCGTTTATTAGCTGTATAGAAACTTAAACCAACTTGTTGATGACGTTTACCAGACACCTATTTCCCTAAAATTCAATTAGCTCAATATTTATGGGAAGAGAGAGAGGGAGAGTTTCAGTAAGAATTGCATCAATTCACTTAAAGGGGATAACTCCCGCAATTAGCATCGATGAACAGCTGACCCCAAATCCCTAACTTGGTAGTCCTTCTAATCGATCACTACTTCACGAGTGTATTTGGAAATACAAAACTGAAGTAAATTAAAGAATACTATTGAAGTTCGCCGCGAGTGGACACAGCTTAATAAGCTCTTCTTATTGTAAGGGTTCTAGCTGGTTACAAATCGACGACAAATAACTTCTTTAGGCCAAACCCTTTGCCAAACTAAAGATGGGGAATAGAATGAACACTCCTTTAGTAAAGGCATCCAATTTCGGATGTTTGATTTCTTTTGACATTAGAAGGCTTACATCTGAACCGTAGAAAATGTAGAGATGATGCTGAAATATAACCCTGAATCTCCATTCTTGAAAATCGGTGCACTAATTTCAAATTACCTTAAAAATTATTCTTCCGCCAGAAGTGAACCATTTACTTATCCTGAAGGTGGATACTGCCCTATTTAAAACTGAACATCTTCATGTCGAACCCACTTTTGTAATACAAATGTCAACTGATCATGTGGAAATAATAAACAATTTTAATGAAATACTCAGGAGGGCAACAAATAAAGGAAATCAATAATGAAGGCGCTCGATTAAAACAGCAGAGTTGAAGAATATTAAGTTTAAATTATCAAATGAACCCTTGGGAGTTAGGAAGAAATTTCTATAAATATCACATATATTTACTGTCTTCGTTTAACTGATTGCCTTTTAAATAACCTTGTTATTTCCATCAATTTGTCTACCAATTGTAAGCCATGACCTTGCTGGCCTCTATTGCAAACAAATTTACATTATGTTTAATATTGATTTTGAATCACACTGACGTTTAATCTATGCTACTTATTCACGAATTTTCAAATCCGCTTAACTTTGTTATAACGGATTAAAGATGTTTGTACTCCCTGACTCAGGTTTGCCCTGTTTCTTCGAGTGGCTCCTATGTCTACCCGCATTAATTGCCATCTTCTAATTTTCTATTGGTTGCTCATCCAACAGTCATCAAGTGGAACGGAGAAAGATTTAAAGTCTATTTTACTTCACGTGTTTATCACAATCTTTTCTCTTGCATGTATTTACAATTATCCAATGGAAAATTTTCCAACCCATCTTTTGATCTTCTCAATCCTTAAAGGCTATTACTTCCATGGGGGCGATAACTTTTAGATACCTTAACATTACTCTTATTGATTTTATTTTAGAAAATAATGAGATGGCCTTTATCGAAGCTGATCCTATTTCTCGCGTTCGTAATCCTCGGCATGGTCGTTTTCAATATAGCGTACCACATGCTATTTTCTCGAATTCAAGGTTTGTCTGGCATTAAAATACCACACAACTCCCGTAAGCCTCCATGCAGCTTGTATTTGGATTATTTATCTTAATAATGATCAGCACTTCTATGGTATTGAATTTTACAGATAACCAAACTTTAGCCGATGAACTGGCAAAGAAGGTTTGAGTTTTTGGAATGATTGTTACAATGCCTCAAGCCAAACTAACCAAGGCAATTCATGTAAAAGAAACTTGGGCGCGGAGACTCAACGGATTTACTTTCATTAGCTCTGAGGATGATAAAAACCTCCCATCAATTCGTACGTCTTTACTAAATTAACAGCTATGTGCTAATATTTCGGATTGAATAAGTCAGTATTCATGCCAAGTCTTTTGAAGTGAAGACTTTGACGACCCTCATCTGCAATAGAGGGGTTGCATCGTGGAGCGTTTTTCTAATGGCAATCTTGCACTCTCTCACATCTATCATGTCATATTTCAGTAGGCGAATGTGGTTTTACTGTCCAGATTCAAATATGTCCATTAACCACTGCACCGCTTATGTATAAATAAGTGTTATGCATTTGGATGCGCTTGATTAGATGCAGATTCTTTGGCAAATCTTCTTTTATGTCAGTCAGTTCTGCACTTTTCCATAAACGCCCTCCATAACGATGTTTTTATCCATTGCAATGAACTTAACTTGAAGGTCATTATATGGCATAGACATTTACTGATATCGCAAACTTTAATAAATGTCTTTTTCACCATTTTTTAATAATGAATTTGGAAAGTACCTTTCAAACATTTGCAGAGACGAATTTTGCCTTGTAAAATGGCATAGGTCTTACACATATTTACCCTAATTTGCCATCTTTTTTCCTGCCGATTTACCAGATATTCCCCTACCCCACCCTCATCTAATTATCAATTTCATTCTCACCTATATCTTCCCCATAGCTTACGCATTAGGATTGTGTGATTAACTAGTCTCCCCCTCCCACTCCCTCCCTCCCTCCCTTTATCTCATCTCCATTTCAATGTTTTCTAGTCATTATTAGAGATATATCCCTGCTATATGCTTATGCTCCTCTAGCCCCTTCCTCTAAGCAACTTCACTCTCAAATAGCATACATTCTTCCTGCTGCCACAATTATTCCCATTCCTCCACGAATCTTCCACTCCTAGGCAACCTTTTTGTAGCCTATACTCTGGTAGTACGAAGGACACCCACTAGGATGAGCTTAAAAGAGAAGAGAATAGAGGCTTCTAAGCGCCCTCGAAAAGGCGAAGCTAGGCCACACGCATGGCGTGGGTGTCATGGGTGGGAGATCATGGCCATAGGAGTGCAGGGTCTATAAGACAACAGCAACAAAAGGGTGCTTGCTGTGCGGGGGGGGGTGGATGTACGAGCAGGCACGAGCGTGCTTCAAGTGCGTGCCCAATTTCTTCACCTGGGCAGTGCCTGTGCCTCCCTACTCAGGAAACTCCAATCCTCACCTCCACGTGGTCCTGGGTGGTAACGTCAGCCTCCTGCATTCACGCCGCCTTCTCAATTCACTCCTACCAACAGGAGCAGGGAAGAGACCCGCGATTGTGACCAGGAGACTGACGGCGAACGAGGGCTCTGGGCAGAATTAGCTATTAACCAACCAACCAACCAACCAACCAACTAGACAGCTTCACTTCCTCAACTCTACTTCATGAGTGCAATGTGGGAATGGAATAGTGACAATATCCACAATCATTGTTCACACAGTGCTAATTGACACCAATTCATCGCCTACGTAACCAATGAGGCAAGTAGTCCATCCTACTACTCCCTCT